ACACTTCCCGTCTCTCTCTCTCTCTCTCTCTCTCTCTCTCTCTCTCTCTCTCTCTCTCTCTCTCTCTCTCTCTCTCTCTCTCTCTCTCTCTCTCTTCTCTTCACCCCGATGCGGGCAGTCCGTCACCGCGCACCTACGCAGAGTTGTCACCCCACTTAGTTCGGGCATGCCAGCCGGGTTCGCCCGTGCCAGTGTGCCGCAGTCCGTCGTGGCCCCCACGTCAACCCCGCATGCCCAGCACCAGCTCGTCGGATCGCCCAACTCTCTACTCACTTTCCAAATCTCGCTTGTTAGTCGATCCTCTCGACCGCGCTAACTTCCAGAAGTCTTAGAGAGGGAGTTAATCGCGCTTACGGAATTTATAGCATGCATGATACCTGGGATTGTGTCGAAGTACGGGGAAGAAGAAGGAAGGGAATGCCTACAACTGCATGGTCAGGCCTCGGCGTGGGGGACGTAGCCTCACTCCACACATCGATCCGGTCATGCATGCGTTCAGGCCAATAGGACAGAGGAAGAAGTACGTGTGCACGGGGGCACTTCAAAAGATATCAAGAACGAGAGGATTAGAGTTGCAATTGTGCGGGAGCTTCAGAGGGGCGCAACGCTACCGGGGGCATTGCGCCCCACCCGACACTACGTACTCATGGAGACGGCGCACGGCGGCGATGGTGGCCTTTTTTCCTTGAAGCCCTGGCGCTTAGCGCACGCGCAGGAGACTGCAGGCGCTTCACCACGCCATGTCACAAGCTGATGTGGCAGATGGTCTAACTCCCGATGGCGTTCAGTTGCCGCTGCGTTGCTGCATGTGGCGTTTGGCCTGAGAGGCATTGGCTATGTCGATGTCTGTGGAGCACAGTGGAGTTAGCCCTAGGTACCCTGAAGTGTGAGTGATTTCAGTAACGGCCTGCCATTGCGGTACTGCTCGCCATCATCCTTGCCATCACCATCACTACCAGGTCGCGATTCGACATCACCCCACTTCTTCCTATCAGGGGTACTATTCGACATTAGGGTGTTGTCCGTCTTCAAGGGCACATCTTGGACGTGTTATCAAGTACATCAAGGTACAGTTATCGCCATCACAACGAGGCTATCAGGGACGCTGCTCGTTATCAAGTTGATGCTCGTCATCATCATCATCAAGGTTTGCTAGTATCATCATGACGTTAGTCGTCATCATTAGGATATTATTTGTTATCATCACTTGAGTAAAGGGTGTGATTAGTCGTTTTTCATCACTATTAGGTCACTATCAAAGCACAGGTTGTTATTTTCAGGAGGTTGTAGATGTGCTTGTCATCTAAGTATTGGTAATTGCTCGTCATTCTAATCATCATTACATCTTTGTGTGGACTTTGTCATTACCAGCGTCATCATCGCAGTGTTGCTCGTCATTATCACCATATGTAGCATCACCATCATCATCATTATCATTCTCATCACCATCATCCTCATATTATATTTCCCTTAACTGCAATCTTCATTAGTGGGATGTCACCGATATAATCTGCAGGCGAGCCTTCTCGCCAATATCATTCTTAAAATCTCCAGTCTTAGGGTACTGTTCTCAGTCACCCATCCAATCACAAGTCATCAATACCGTCATCGTCATTACCACCATCTGTGGCAGTATCATCGATATCATTATCATCATCATTACTATCATCCTTATAAAAATCAGCATTAATCCAATCTCTCACTAGGGGGTCATTACCGATATCATCTGCAGGTGTATTCGCTCGCCAATACTCTCCTGATAACCCTTTGTCTTAGGGTACTATTCTCGTCAGCAATTAGTATTTTCTTTTCCAACACTTTCATCATGATTTTCCTTTTTCATGTTCACTCTCTTGAGTGTTTCCATCCTGGGATCTCCATCACAAAATCTTACTCAACTATACACTGCCCTCATGAGATTTTTCTCCAGGTTAATTGGCCGCTTCATCTGATGGGTGTGCTTCAGTCGAGATAGGGCTTCTGTGGTCACGGTTCGGATTTTTGGGGGAAGGGTGGGGAGTTGGTATTGGGGAGCCTTACTTTACAGGGGCGCTGCAAGGTGGGAGGTGGCTGTCCTGTCAGGGGTGGGGCAAATTTGTGGTTTGTCCTTGTCAGGGGTCGGGGTGGGAGAGTTGGTCGCCTTCAACCCCGGCGGGGGCAGATAGGGACAAGGGGAGGGCGAAGGTATCCTCTAGGAGGGAATTGGATGCCTTTGCGGAGGGGGGGAAGGAGGGGGTCTGTTCCAGGTTGGGGCCGAGGTGGTTTCCTCGGCGGTGGCAGCTTGAAACAGGGGTTGCGGGCAGGGGGAAGTTTCTCTGCGCGGTGACTTTTGGAAGCTTCTTGGACAAATTATGGTATATTATGCCTTACGGGGTTTTGAAAGCTAGAGCAGCATCCGGTCTTCTTCTTTATTAGGATATTCGATTTCAGAGATGGTTGTACCTGGACTGACATCGGCAGCGTTGCTCTGTTTTGTGCCCTCAGTTTGCCGATGCCAGAACGACGCTGGCAGGAGCTGGGGTGTTACCCTGTAACCTGCAACGGCAGGAGTGTGAGGCCTTGTAGAGAGATTTGGGGTTTGTCGAGGGAGGAAGGTAAGCCAGTGGCGAATTCTGGGGGACCGCCTTGACACCCTATGGGGTCGGGGATAGTACCTTACCTAGTAAATAATCAATTGACGAGGTCAGCTATGGATGATGTTGGTCTGGTTAGTACTGTCTTTGAGTAGTAATGTCCCGGTATAGGGAGGGCTAGGAGTTTGCTCTATGTTTAGGAAGTTGGAATAACTGATATAGCATAGTATTCAATTTTTTTGTTCTTCATCAAAAAAAATTCTTAGTTGATGTCGGGTAATGGTCCCGGCACCTCATATGTTGTGTAATAATTCATGTGGGACGCTGGACCCGGTTTCCAGCAAGTGATGCTCCCCACGAATAGATTGGAGCAAATTATCAAAAAAAAAAAAAAAAGAAGTTGCAATTATGCCCACCAAAACCGGAATTACAGTTATACGCAAGGATTAAGGTACGGAAAAATCAGAGCGCGGATCCTGACGCGGCAAGGCGTGCGCAATCAAGAAGCGTTGTGCATCGGAAATTTAGGTGCGCGTAAATTCCTAATCTAAATCCTAGTTGCAAAAGGCATTTCAAACAAAGTAAATTCCGAGAGCCCGTGGGGGCTTGATAGCAGTTAAAAATTCAAAAAGATTCTCCCGCGCGGCAATCGCGCCAAAATTCCCCTTTCCCGCAGCAGAACAAGAAGGAAGCTATGGCAACAGTTATTCGTCGTACTCGCTAAGGCGCAATCAACTACCAACCATCACGGCACCACGCCAGCCCCCCCCACCCTTTGTCCTAAAGGACGCAAAAGCACAAGGACGCAGAGGCAACGGGAGAGGGCAGAAGGGAAGCGCCAAGTGCAGGATTCGAACGCGCGGCTGCTGCAAGACAATCCGACGCGTAGCCAAAGCCACCGAGAGAGGAGTCCGGAGGAGCTGGTGTCGCCACCTCGGAGGGATCTAGAAGCAACTGCCACAGAAGAAGTCCAACGCCGGCTCAATCCCCTCCACCACAGAGGGTCACTGTTCCCTATGTGGAGATGCAGGCACTCGGGCTTCGTCCCCGGTCATTACCCCGCCTTCCCCTTGATTTTCTCGCCATCCATCAGATCACGGGTCGACCCCCGTTTCCTTCCAACTGGCATCCTTTCCCCCTTCCCTCTTCGACCAGCTCTATTCTACCCATCTCGGTATCACCGTCGTCTCGCACTCCTCCACTCGCTCCATTGTAACCACTTTCCCCCTCCACGTCCTCCTCTTCAGCGCGGCATGGCGAGATTACAACAATATCGAGGTATATTGTATGATTTCGAGCGTAATCCCCGCGTGCGAAGGTTACGAGGATCTTCGCGCCGCGATCCCCCGCACCATGTGAACCCTCTATCCCGATCAACTTGCCTCCCTCCCTCACTAGGATCATCGCTTTCCCCTCATACATTGCACCATCCATTACACTCGGTTCCCCACCTGGGATCGAGAGCGAAGCCGTTTTCTGACACCCCTTCCGCAAGCTCATCCCTCTCCGCCTCTTCCCATCATCAGACTACCTTTCCCCGACAACCTTTAGATCGGAGTCGCGAATGCCACCTGGATGACTTCCACACTCGTCTTCCTTCTTACTCCGTCCGCCGAAACTGTCCGATTCGTCCGACCCACTCTCTTCCGACCCGTCCTCCTTAGATTCGTGATAATTTGGGTCATTCGAAGTGGCCTCCGATTCTTCTTCTTCGTTCGCGTCTTCCCTCTCCTCCTCTTCGTCTAACTCTTCCTCTTCCCCCACTTCCGCTCTTCGGATGATGGGATCCCGCAGAGTGATATCGGTCACATCGATGACCAAATAGTTGCCCGAAGAGGGGAGGTAGATATTATCGTCGTCGAGTTCCGTGCACGTGGGCCATATTAGTTGTGGCGTCAACGTACGATGGAGAGCCGTTGGCGCGGACCGCTCGTTACAGCATGAAAGGATCTCCACAGATTCTCCAGAGGCAGATCGTCTAGGAGTTGTGCCAAGAACACCAGAACTTCGTTCGTAATTGGCTCGAGATGTCGTCCCGCACCTTCCCGAAGAGTATCCCCAACAGCTCTCCCTCCGTGTCCGTCCTCCAGGCTTGGACGATCAACAGCTCCACCTCATCAACGAGAACTTCATCTTCCTCCTCTTTATCTGTCGGCTCGGCCCAATGAAACGCCAACTGGAGAAGGCAAAAGTTGAGTGCGACGTACGAGTGCCACCACTCCGCCCACTTGCTCGCATCCAGGATCGGCACGTCCAATCTCCTGATTCGGAAGGAGATGGGAGGGTTCGTAGCAGACTGCAAGAAGGTAGGGAGATCGGAGGGAAGCTCGAAGGTCGAAAGGCGGTGCTGGTTCATTGAGGCGGCGTGAAAGGAAGAAGCTGCGGGAGGACGATCTCCGGTGCGTCAGAAGAGATCCGGAGTTGGTTGAGATCAATGTCGTTCATGGAGTTGATACGATCGCCGAGTAGCGCTAACAGCTAGACCAAGGCGGCCGTGAGATCCCACGCCCAGAGTCGTAGCTGTTGGAAGACGCCCATATGAGCCGCCGGATGCAATGCCGTAAGATCGTCGATGAAGGCGACAATCACTGTCACGTGGCTGACGCCTGGTGGAGACAGCCGCAGAAAAGCCAACGCCTCGGCCAACATTCTTGTCCGCTCGCTAGTTCGTGCGAATCAAAATTCCGTCGTCGCCTCGTGAATGACCGCCGTACTGAAGAAAGCCGCAAATCGAAGCAGATTCGGAAGGAGAGGGGAATCGGGCCAAGGCCTCGTGTCTCTGGCCGCGATATTTCGCCGCAAGGCCGTCTTGATTACCGTATTTGCATTTTCTACCAGTCCATGTGATTGTGACATATGAGGAGCCGTATTATGGATGGAGACGCTATGTATGACTAGGCTCCTCAAGACTCCCCCTCGGAATTTTGCCCCTTTGTTCGTTAAAATTTCCTTAGTGTCCTGATGCATTATGAGGAAACGGTTAACATACCGCACGATTTCCGCCATCTATCGTGTTTTACACAGGTAGGCCTCGATCCATTTTGAGAAATGATCCACGAATACCAAAAGAATTGAATACTCGCAGCTATTCGGTCCAGGGGGCACAACAATATCCGTGGTATCCATGTTAACCCTTTGGAATCATGGTCGTTCGACTATGGTGGGCACTATCGACCTAGGCGGTTGAATTGATGCTTATCTTCCGCGCAGACTGGACAGTTTTTAACGATGAATTTAACATCGTCCCGGACGTTGGACCAGTACCACTCATTTTTGTCAATCACGGTCTCCGTGATCCTAGCGGCAAAATGAGCGGCAGTTTCCTCCTGGGCCGACTTAACCCTGTCCTACCTCATGAACAGATGGGGTACTGACATCCAGATCCCATTGCCATCAGTCTTTCGTTTTTCTAGCCGTCTGTCGTTCCATCGGTAATCTCTTGCCCTCTCGTTTGCCTGCCTCCGATCTTCCTTGGTGAATTTTCGGAGGGAGTTACCGACCATTGTAGCTATCAAGACGACATTCGTCCATCCTTCGGCACGCCGAAATCAGCGTGTCTTTTCTAATCCTTTGGATGTGGCTTCGAGGAATCGAGCCTCCGTCGGGATTTTGTTGGTGCGACACAAGAGACATCATCAGGGTTTATCCGAGCTCTTGCATTAGATACAGGAGTCGTGAGCTCGGGAGACACATTGTTGACAATCTATCCATTCCACATACCCTTCCCTACTAGGACGCATAGGAACCGAATATACGCGTGATATTGCTTCGCAAAAGTAACAGAACTTGTCAGGCAAGGAGAGAAAGGAATAGGATGAGAGGGGAGAAAGAGGGCCTCTAGAGTTACCTTCCCTACCCATCGCCATCGTGTTCACGTGTCACTTCGTGGAAGGTCGGGGGAAAATACCCACTTCTCCGTATAGGGGCCCCTTGGCTGGCTCCGGCTCCTTCCACAGAGTAATCTCTTCACCTTTTGCCACCTTGTTTGGGCGATGTAGTCATGTTAACCCGTCCTCGTTCCCGTGCTTTTCCGTCTTTCGATGAATGATGTCGAAGTCGTACTCCTGCAGCCAGACAGCCCATCGTCCAATCATGCCTGTGTAGTTGGTGAGTCTTCTTAGAGCTAGCGGAGGCTCATAATCCGTGACGAGGAGAAACTTTTGTCCGGATAGATACAGATGGAAGTGCTAAATTCCCTAGACGACCACGTAGCACTCGCCTTGTGGGGCCACATCATTCCTTCTCTCGTCAAGTACAATTTGCGAAGCGTACTCGATGACGTGTTCGCGGCCGTTCTTCCCTTTTTGGGCCAAAATAGCGGAGATTGCCTCAGGTTGCTAGTCCGTAATAAGAATGAACTGTTTCTCAGGATCAGGCCGAATCAAAATAGGTGCGGAAGCCAGGGCCTCCTTTAGGGTGACAAAGGTTTGTTCGCAGTCTGTGTCCCACTTCAGTGGTTGGTCCTTCTGTAGGAGGTTCGTTAGAGGCCGAGCAATTGCCGCGAACCCCTCACGTACCCTAGAAATGAGATCTCCGAGAGGAAAAACTCGCTCTTCTCCAGCGCGATCTTGAATCCGGCATCTCGCAACGCCCCCAACGTTCATTCGATGTGTTGAGCATGTCCGTGGAATAATTTAGAATACACCAAGATATCGTCCATGTACACAATGATGCAAAAATTGATCATGTCCTGGGTCAGTCGACTCTTATTGACAAAGTTTTGAAAGGTGATGTTCATCGCTCTTTGGAAGGTCGCCGGTGCATTGCATATCCCCATAGGGCAACGAACCCACTGCCACGTGCCTTCGAATAGTACGAACGCCGTCTTCGGCCGATCCTCCTCCTTGACTAGGATATGATGGAACCCATGACGGATATTAAATTTACTAAAATAATTAACACACCCAATCGCATCCAGCAAGTCGTCCATCCTGGGGAGGATGTATACATCTTTGATCGTGATATCATTCGATTTCCTATAATCGATGCATATGCGAATCGACCCGTTTTTCTTTGGAACTAGGACTACAGGGAATGACCATGGCCCGATAGCTGGTTCAATCCAACCGCTAGCTTCAAACTCCCTAATTCGTTCCAATGCTATCTTTTGTTCGACGAGGGAATATCGGTATGGTTTGCAATGGATTGGCGGGTGCATCCCGGTCTGGATTTCGTGATGAATCACTAGCGACAACCCGATATGTGTATCCTCGACACTAATCGCCCCTTGATATTCAATTTGAATATCTGCGAGTAGTCGGTGAGTCTCGCCGGGCACGTATTAGGGCACATGTAGCTCATAAAGTTGTCCGTGTATACTAACCGTCACTTGTTTCGTGCCCATTTTTGTGCCATTCCCCGGTGGAGGAGCCGAGATGAAAGAGTTGTCCGACCGCAAGGAGAACAGTGTGGCAACCATCTGAGCGTCTGCTTCCCGGATCGCCACGTGCTCTTCTGGTGTTATCCCGTCCTCAGCACCCTGTCGCAGCAATCGGACCGCTTTTCCTGTAGAGAGCAGAGAACGAGGCAGTCCCGAAATATCGCAGAATGTTTTTTTGTCTCTATATCTCGAGAGAAGCCGGGTGGTGGCCTCGTATAGGGTCCGAGGGGGTTCCGAAGAATCAACCATTCAGGGTAGTTGGACAAGCGGCTCCCCTAGGACTAAGGCTGGCGTCCGCTGGCGGTTCCATTCCGTAAGGACGAATGTTCTTGATGTTTTTTGTTGCACGGGGTAATGAATCAGTTGGTGTACCATATCTCTAATCTAAGGATCGGTTTCATTCTCGTCGTCGCAGGAGCTTATTGACACCTCCGGTCCTTTTTCCGTTTTGTCCGTTTCCTCGAGGGGTTCCCTCCAGGTGATTACGTGGAGTGGTTCTCCGCTTCCGGGTGGAGTTTTTTCGTGCCGTGGGGAGCGCAGTTCAGAGGGTTAGACGCATCGGGATAACGTACGGCTTCCCACCCGTATTTCGAAGGATTTGATCGTCTTTAGAAGTCGAGGTTGGCTCTTAGTGCGGTAAGGGCTGGTAATCCCAGAAGAACTTCGTACGGATTCACATCTAGTACCACGACATCTCTTAATGCGTGAACTTTTCCCAATCGAAACGTAATGTTCGTCATCCTTCCTACTTCCTTGATTTTTTCCTCATCGGCGGAGACAAGGTGATCTCCTTCCGCCAACGGGATAAGATCCTTTCTTCTTCCTGCTCGTTCTACAACTCTAAAGGAAATCGCTAGGACCGCGGCCCATGAATCAACGATAGCATTGTACGGATTTCCCCAAACTTCTACGTCACATTCCGCGGATTTCCACGGAATGGCCTTAATGCGAAGGAAATGATCATCTTTCCGAATGAGTCCTAATCGTATCGGCTCCGAGGTGTCGGGGACATCGGGTTTGTCTTCGCAGGCGGGGGGKTTCCCTTTGGTGGTTGCCTGCTTTGTGAGGGCGAACCGTTTCCGGTTTGCCCTGCAATGCTGCAGCATCCGCTCATTTGTCTGTTCTGATATGGATAATAAGTGTCCGATAGGCAAGGGGATCCGATGATCCATGACTGATAATATTCAGGACATCAATTTCTCCCGTAACGAAGGTAGGGCCACCAGATTCCATTTCGCCGGGGGACGGTCTCCATTCCGCAATTTCCCGTTGTTCGTTCACCGGTCGGATGGTTCCAATCGTTCCCATCCCTGGATAACCTAGCGAGATGGAGAGGCGGTTAACGGAGACCCAAAATTTCAGCGTTTTTGAATGCTATTTATAAGAAAACCAGAAGCCCTTTGTAACGAAAAATCGCATCATTCCATAGAGTATGGAGCTGACCAGAACATTAATTAGCCTGATGTAAGAGAGCAAGAAGGAACATCGTGAGCACAATGCCCGGATAGTAGAGTCTATGATGAGATCAATGCACCCTATTGTTGTACGAGCTACACCCATGAAGCAGGCAACAGCCTCCGCTCAGGCGGTGGACGGCGCGGTGGCTAATTTAGGTGTCTGCTACACGTGTCACCAGCCCAAGCACGAGTAGGGGTTGCCCCTGTGGAAGCAGCACCGGTAGCCAATGGGCCAGCGAGAGTAGGCACGATGATTGAAGAAACAGAGGGAGGGGGAAGCACAGTGGTTACCACCGAGGAGGCTGCGGAACTCATCCCGCTCAATCAATACATCTCACGAGTGATGGTTAATGGAAGACCCAAAATTCGGGGTTTTTCGCCGCATCACCAGAAACAATGTCCTCAAACATTTCGCGAACAAACAATGCAGGATCATAATACAAACATCAAACTGGTCCAAATACGTTGAAACTGAATAC